TTTTTTTTTTTTTTTTTTTTTTTTTTTAATGAAAGCTATTTAAATGCTTATACTTTTGGCTAATTACATATTTTTCCACTCTTTGCAGCCTTCTTGACAATAACAACTTATCGGGGAAGCTTCCACCAGAGTTGTTTCAATTGCCCAACTTAGAAATACTGTATGCACTCATTTCCTGCTACCTTAAATGCTTCAAATATATGAACACCCCCCTCCCTCCCTCCCCGGCTCAATCTTCTACCAGTTTATTTATTTTCATATACCTTTTTCTTTTTGATTTCTTGGGGGAAAGGATAATATATATTATAAACTACGTAATAAAACACAGCCACAAGCACAATCATGGAATCAACTACTAGCTTTCTCACTCTTCTAACCTACCAAGAGTATGAGTCGCAATGTTTGCATGTCTGTTGATGTCAGATATTTACAAAAAGAAAAAAGAAAAATAAAACTGGGATTGATAAGGACTCAATTTTAGGTGACTTCTGTGAGTATTTCAATTCCCTCTTCCAAGGTACACGAACCATATTCGAACTCGTTAATGGGTGACATAAAGAGAGAATTGTAGTAGTATGAAGGATATACACGTTTGGCCACGAAACCTTTGCACCTTTGTCGAACACTAGGATTCAAACTCATCCATTTTCATCATTTTGGTATCACAATGCGTGCAAGAAAATATTCTGCTTGCTTCTGGCTTTGGGATCTATTCTCTTTAGCTTGCTTGCACTGGGGAGATGAGTATTGTTCTTGAGGAGGAGATAATTTCCTACATTTGATAATTACAAAGTTACCCTGACTTTGAACATAAAATACAATAGAAGGGTAGGATGTTAGAATGGTGGATGGATCTCTCGAAATTTTATGATCTCTTGTCAGTTTCCAATGAGTTTTTTAATGTTAGTTTTATTTTTATTATTCTCTGGATTTCTGTTTATTTTCTTTCCCAGTTTCATTCATATGCCTTTCGTTTAGAATTTATTCTGCACAAGTGATCTTCTGAATTTCTCCTTTTCAAATAATTTTGAGTTTCTTACTAGCCCAATTTCATTTGACTTGCAGTCAACTTGACAATAACAACTTCAGTGGGTCCACAATACCAGACTCTTATGGAAATATGACTAAATTGCTGAAATTGTAAGTTATTTTTAAATTCTTGGTTTTAGTTGACCATTGAAACAATGGAGACGTAACCTTCTGTTTTATTTGTAAGCTCGATATGGCTAGTATTTATTTAAATAACCTAAGCAACTTTCATTAACTAACACACATGAAGGCTAAAATATTAGATATATATATATATATATATATAATTTCCATTTATGTTAAAGTTAGAATGCGAGGGATGGTATTACAATGGTCAGTGTAGTACCTACGTCTTAGATTAATTTATCTTGAATTACATGTGTCTAAGGAGAGCTCAATTCACAGACGGAATCATATACATTTGTTAAAAATAGCATAATTTTTAACTGGTGCTTTATTTGTAAGCTCAATATGGTTATGTATTTATTTAAATAACCTAACCAACTTTCATTAATTAACTCACTTAAAGGCTACAAAAATCTAATTTCCATTTTAGTTAAAGTTAGAATGAGAGGGATGGTATTACACTCGTCAGTACAGTACCTACGTCGAAGAACAATTTATCTTGAAATATGTGTCTAAGGAGAACTCAATTGACAGACAGAATTATATGTTTGTTAAACATAGCATAATTTTAAACTAGTGAATTTATTTGCTTAAAGGAGATGTGATTATTGTTATTGTGGCAAGTGGAGATCTATTAAATAGGACAGTGCATGATAAGAAGATCTTATTCCGTTCTATGGTTGGCTATCTTATTCTAATACCATATGGTTAATTTGGATAGTTGAGGTTCTTCTCATGATTTACAACTAATAATACACTAAATTAAATACAAGAGAGAAAGTCTAAAAGATAGTAAAATTATCTAGTCAAATCAAATCCCCTGAACTTTTAGGCCTAGAAGATTACAAGATAAAGTATAGATAATTTTCTAATTTTTCATTTATCTTTCTGGGACATCCAATCAGAGAAGAAAGAAAGGCCCTTGGTTGGCGGTCAATAGGGCTTATAGCTGGGTCCGTTGGTATGAGAGAATCAGTCGCGTTTAAAACAACTCTTGTTACTGGGGGAGGGTGTTTTTTGGACCCACCATAGGTGGTTTGGAAGCCTCCCCTATTGTATATTCCTTTCATCAAAGAAATCACTTCTTTTTTCTTTTCTTCTTCTTCTTCTTTTTTTATTTTTTATTTTTTAAAG